TGGACTGTTATGTCTTCCCCAAAATCATGTATTGAAGCCCTTAACCCCAATGTGACTGCATTCAGAGACGGGGCCTTCTAGGAGATAATTAAGGCTAAATGAGGTCATAATGGTAAGTTCCTAATCTGATTGGATAGGTGGCCTTGTATGAAGAGGAAAAATATCTTTCTTTCCACCCTTATATACAAAAAAAAGAGGTAATGTGAGCACACTGTCAGAGGCAACTATCTATGAGTCAAGAAAAGTCTAAAATAAACCCACGTTGTAATAATTTCCAGTCTCCAGAATTGTGAGGAAATAAATTTCTGTTGTTTAAACTACCTAAACTATAGTGTTTGTCATGGCATCCTGAGCAGACTAAGGCACCTCCTTGTCATTTTTCTGGAAAAGATTTATAAAATTAGTTTTAAATCTTTAAAAGTTTGATAAAATTCTGCAGTAAAACTCTCTGTGTATGGATATCATATTTATGGGAAATTCTAAAATATTAATTCAATTTCCTTAATAGTTACAAAAGATCTAAATTTTCTATTTATAATTGGATAAATTGTAGATGCTTATATTTTTGAGAAATCAGTCCATTTCTTCTAAGTTGTTGAAATCATATGTGTAAAAGTTAATCAAAATATTTCTTTATTATTCCTTTGATGTTTGCATAGTCTATAGTGATGTTTTCAATTTTTTACTCATTTGTACTGTTTTTACTAGGGGTTTACCAGTATGACTGAATATTTTTGAAGAATCTACTCTTTTTTCCATTATTTTCAGTTTCCTGGTTTTTATTTAATTAATTTCTACTTTTAATGTTTATTCTTTTCTCCTGCTTGCCTTGGGGTTATTTTGCTCTTTCTTGAAATGAGAACCTAGATTTTGACCATCCCTTTTTTCTAGTGTAAGCATGTTTTGCTATACAGTTCCCTTTCAGCACTGATTTACTTGTGTGTTATACATTTTGATATTTTCTATTTTCATTCTCACTTTCCTTTATGCATTATATTTTTGCTTTTAAGGCTTTCCTCTTTTACCTATGCATTATTTAGAAATTTGTTATTTAGTGTTTGGAAATTTCTCTGCTTTGCTTCTGTCATTATTTTCCTGTTTGATTCCATTATGGTCAGATAATATACTCTATGAATTTAGTACTTAATCTATGTTGAGGTTGTTTTAAGTCCCAGTGTATGATCTATATTTGTGAATATTCTTTGGTCACTTGAGATTTTTGTTTTGTTTCTTTTGGGGGTGGTGTACTGTAGATTTAACTCCTAGGTGTGCTTTACCACTGAGCTACATCCCAACCCTATTTATTTAGTTAATTAGTTATTTTTATTTTGATTTGAATCAGAGTCTTACTTATTTGATGAGGGCCTCGCTAAGTTACTGAGGTTGGCCTCAAACTTGAGATCCTCTGACCCAGCCTCTCAAGTTGCTGGGATTACACACATGTGCTACTACACCCCAATTCTTTGGTCTGTTGAATAAAATATATATTCTGCTCTTGTTGAATGAGATGTATTATATATGTTAATGAGGTCTAGTTTTTTGATGGGTTTCTAAATTTTATATCTATACATGTTTTTATATAATGTTTTATTCCTCTGGTTTTCCCCTATTGTTATTATACCATTTCTCTGTTTTGGATAGTTTCTTTGGTTTTAGTTTACAGAATTTTATTTTTCACATATGTTAGTGTGGATTTATTTAGAATTGTGCTACTTGAGTTCTTTAATTTCTGTTTGTATTCCACTATTTCTTGAGGAACAGAACTAGTTTTGCTTCCTATACCCTTGCTCAGTCTCATTGATGTAGGGTAGGAATGGAAGCTCAGCTCCTCACTGAGCCAATCTGACACTAGTGAAGAGGTTGAGGGTGAAACATAGTGGTAATTAGCTCATTCTCAAATCCTCTCATTAAATCTCATTGATGAGGTCTTGGTAGAGGCTTAACTTACCATTTGAAACACATTGACATTATTCCTACCAGAGAATCAGTGTATACTACCAGCTTTGCCTCAGAGATGATGGAAGATCAGTTGCCCACTTGGCCCCACTGAAATAGTGTGTGGCAAAGTGAGGCAGGGAAGTTTTTCTCCTGGTTCTGTTTTCTGGAGTAGGGTATGTATTGCCAAAAAAGGTTTTGTATTATTAGGCCTCCCTTTTTCAGATCTTTTGTGTTTGGACAAAAGACTTTTCTTATAGATGTTACCATTTGTGCTTATTGAGGTTTCTGGGTTGGAGACTTCTTCAGCTTTCTGTTTAGGATCTATAAGACACAATAAGAAAATCAAGGGAACTCTACTCCTGTCTTTGTTCAAATTCTGAGGTCCCAAGTCCATTCATATCTTTTTTTTTCCTGCTTTCATAGATTCCCTTTACTTGGTAATTAACCTGTCTCCAGAATACTTTAAATTTTGAGAGACAGAGGACATATAAACAATTCAGACTATTTTATACTGATCAGAGCTGAAAGACTCCCTTTTTATATCTCCATAATATTTTAAACAGTTATGTTAACCACTATGGACATAAGGGCATTGCATTATGACCTAGGGGGGATTAAGTGTGTAAAAAGTGGTGGTTCTACTATCATCCCCTTGAACATAGATGCCCTCTCTTTGATTTTGTGTGTCCTGAGGAGGGAAGATACAACACACAACTTTATTTTTCAAAGCCAAATGGTGTTGGAGTCCAAACTACACACAAATGGCTGGTAGAATTTCTAGCATCCATAACTTTAAGGGTTTCTTCTCTTCTCTGTGGAAACTTCTTAGACTTTTGATGCTTACTTCGTCCCAGGGAAAAGAAGGTAGACATGTTTCTTAGTTTTTGTTTACTATTGATTTCCCCATTGTTCTTTCTACTATAGGATAACATCATAATGATCAACATTGGTCACTAGTTTGTTTAGCTGCTGTTGTTGAAGAACTCTGAGGTGTCCCTTTCAGTAGGAATTACCACTGTTCATAGATGGACACAACATCTCCCAGCTGCTCCTAGTGTTTCTACTCCTGGCAAGCAACTTCTACAGATATTCCATTCCTATATTTGGGATGCTGAGAGGAAGTGTGGCTTATGAACAATATATGACTAGCAGAAATTTTACTCATTTCTCCAAAATATAAGTGCATCAAATATGGATTTACACTATTTTGGTTCACTTAATAATTCATTGTCTTTGGAAAAAAATCATAATTTTTCCAAGCTGCAATTTCCTCATCTACAAAATGTGGATCATATTAATAGTGGATTAAAAAAGATAATATTTGAAACAGTCCTATAACAATATTTGTTAGTATAATAATAAATGATATTGGGAAGAATCATAACTGTGTTGCAGAAAAGTGTAAAGGAGAATGGGGTATGCAGTAACTGAAATGGAATGGCCAGGAGGCCTCATTGTCTATGTGAGTGAAATTACAAAAAGGGCTGGGAAAGGAGGAGAAAAATATCAACAAAAGGTTCAGGGATGGTAGAGGTAGAGAAAGCAGCATGGAAGTAGATCCTACAGTCTTCTCAGATGAGTCAGACAATTAAATTTATCCCTGTATGTACTTGCTCAGCAAACTGGTTTTTAAGGGGGAAGATTGGGACTTGTGCAGAGTTGATGTCAGCCACCAACCTCTCTGTACAATACAATCTATCAATCAGTGTGTAATTAAAATCTGTGTGTCTGTGCATACTAGGTACAGTCCTGCTACTGGATTGGCTACTCTGAGGTAACATGTGAGGTCCACTGAGACTTTCAAGAGTGAAAATCTGCATTCCACATCTCTACAGTCTCATGGTTTTATGATGGCCTCCTTCTTCAAAGTGCTTTATGTCCTTTTGTGCATGTGAAAATCATGTTCATCCCTCAAATCCCTTTCCCAAGGCCTAGTGGAGGGGTGATCTGGTCAGATGCCTTGAGTTTATAGAATTGTCAAAGGGAATGTTTAACTTAAACTGCCAGGAATAGAAAGGGAGGTGCCCATCCACTGAGGCACTGTTCCACTCCACCTCCTTAGGACTGGACGAAAGCAAACACCTCCCCCATCAGCACAGAGCACCAGGTTCTGAAACTGTGACCAACCAAAGGACTATGAAGATCATAGGCAGAATATGAGGGGAAATGATCTTCATTTGGAATGCATTCCTCAGAGATTTCTAGTGCAGGAACTCAGAAACCTTAATTTGAGGATGGGGAATATTTGTTTGAAATTGTTTAATAAGATACCTCACCAGAAGGGCTGAGGAAGGAAGGACAGAAAGGAACTAGCAGGAAGATGGGTAGTATCCCTGCCACTGGCAAACACTCCCTTTGGCTACCAATTTCAATGTCAATCTCAGTTCAAGGTTCTCACAGTATTACACCAAGTGTATATTTGTTTCTTCCCACCAATCATGGTCAAGGCTCATCTAATCCTGTACTTGACTATATTTTAAGTTTCAGATTTTATTCAAGTAAGAATTTTAGGGCTAGTTGGTTGCCCTAAAATGGGCGATGAAACACCATGTATTCTATACTGAGAATTCAGGAGCTATACCCTCCAGCAATCTACTCAGGCCTCTGCTCCACACCCACTTACCCCTTGACCCACAGCCTCCACCTGCAAGCCCAGCACGTGCTATCCATATCCCCCTCGTCCTCCCTCCCCCACTCTCTCCTCCCCCAGCTTCAGCAGCTTCTCAAGCACTTCCTCCCTTCTCTCAGACTTGGCAGCCGCCTCTCCCCCACACTCCTAGGGTGCTCTGCTCCCTCTGACCAGGAGTTATTTGCCTGGCCCCACCGTTTTTTGTGTGTGTGGTTTGTTTGTTTGTTTGTTTTGTTTTTTTTTTATTTTTTTTTGCTGCGGACAACCTCAGACTCAGTGCCTGGTGGTAGCCGCGATCTCCTGGCCCTTGAAATCCCGAGCTCCCACCTGAAGCGCAGACGCCTCCACCCAAGCCCCCAACGCCCTGCCACCCACTGCTATGGCCAGTAGGAGTGCCACACACAGCCTCGCCGCTGCCTGCCCGACGGCCACCATGGACTCACCGGAAACACACAGCAAGAAGCGGGAAGCACCTGCACTCAAGGTTGGTGAGGGGAGCTCTTCCTCTCAGGTTTTGGTGAAGCCAGGGCACAGAGAGGGGCCGCTACAGCCCAACAAGCAGAAGCAGCTAGCAACTTCTCGCTCGCTGGTCCATTATTTGAGGGGCCGTGCGGTGAGCACTTGGAGCAGTGCCGGGCTCCAGGGCTTCGAGGGTAAGCTGCACAGCTATACGGTGCTGAGGCTTCCCGAGATACTGACTGAGCACCAGCTGGCGCTGGGCACCCTCAACAAGGTTTTCGCCTCTCAGTGGCTAAACTCCAGGCAGGTGGTGTGTGGCACCAAGTGTAACACGCTCTTTGTGGTGGACGTGCAGTCTGGCCAAATCAATCGCATCCCTCTGATGCGGGACCGGATGCCTGCCCTGACCCGGGATCAGCCAACCTGCGGCATCCATGCCATTGAATTAAATCCCTCCAAGACACTTCTGGCCACCGGGGGCGAAAATCCCAACAGCCTGGCTGTCTACCAGCTGCCCACCTTGGACCCCGTTTGCCTGGGTGACCGCCATGGGCACAGGGATTGGATCTTTGCCATTGCCTGGATGAGTGACACCGTGGCCGTGAGTGGCTCCCGTGATGGCACCATGGCATTGTGGCGCGTGGACCCTGACAAGTTTATTGGCAGCAGTCCCTGGCACAACGATGCATCTCTTCCCTTGTACACCCACATTCATCCAAAGGACATAGAGTCCATCCCCAGGGCCAGCAGCAACCCCAGTAACCGCAAAGTGCGAGCCCTGGCCTTCAGCGGCAAGAACCAGGAACTGGGAGCAGTGTCCCTGGATGGCTATTTCCACCTGTGGAAAGCACGAAGCCACCTATCCAGGCTGCTGTCTATCAGGCTGCCCTACTGCCGAGAAAACGTGTGCCTGACCTACTGTGATGAATTGTCCCTGTACGCGGTGGGCTCCCAGTCTCACGTCTCCTTCCTGGATCCCCGCCATCGCCAGCAGAACATTCGGCCCTTGTGCTCCAGGGAGGGCGGTACAGGTGTGCGCTCCTTGAGCTTCTACCAGCACATAGTCACTGTGGGCACAGGCCTTGGCTCCCTGCTCTTCTATGACATACGTGCTCAGAAGTTCCTGGAAGAGAGGGCCTCAGCCAGTCTAGACTCCTTTCTGGGACCCACAGGGAGGAAGCTCAAACTCACCTGTGGCAGAGGCTGGCTCAACCATGATGACCTTTGGTTGAATTACTTTGGTGGTGTGGAGGAGTTCCCCAATGCCCTCTACACTCATTGCTACAACTGGCCTGAGATGAAGCTTTTTGTRGCTGGGGGACCTCTCCCTTCAGGCCTCCATGGGCACTATGCAGGCCTCTGGAGTTAAGGCCTCATTTGCAAAGTGCATAAATTTACATATCATTTCAGTGTAACCTTCCTTCTTCATGCTGCAGTTGTTTTAGTTCTTTCTTTTGTCCTACAGGTGTAATTGGCTCAACTTCAACTATGAGGAGAGGGAGAGGGAGAAAGTATAAGGATTTGTCTACATCCTCTTTAGCATTTGTTATTTTTTCCTTTTTGACAGTAGCCATTCTAATTAGGATGAAGTTGAATCTCAAGGTAGTTTCTGACTTACTAATCCTTGATGGCTAAAGTTATTGAAGATATCTTCAATAGCTAAAGATATTTATTTATTTATTTATTTTTGCGAGGGAGAAGGAGAGGAGGCAGAAGGGAGAGAAGGGAGAGGGAGAGAGAATCAAAACTTTAAAGCCAGTTGCTATGGTGCACACCTGTGATCCCAGTGGCTTGGGAGGCTGAGACAGGAGAATAACAAGTGCAAAGCCAGCCTCAGTAACTTAGTGAGCCTTAAGCAACTTAGGGAGGCCCTGTCTCTAAATAAAAATAAAAAGGGCTTGGGATGTGGCTCTGTGGGCAAGTGCCATGGATTCTATTCCTGGTACCAACGCCCCCCCCCCAAAAAAAAGTTGACCTTTAAGACTTTTCTGCATATTCCTAACATGATGATCTTGACTTTTCATAAAAAAAGTTTTGTCTAATCCTTAGTTAACATTCTGTCTTTGAGTGATTCACATATTCTCTCTGCATTAAGGTTAACATTCTATCTTTGAGTGATTCACATATTCTCTCTGCATTAAGGAGATCCAATGGTGGTTTCACAATTATGCAATTATATTTCTTTTCTTTTTTCTTCTTTTATTACTGGTATTAAAATAGTATTGTTTTGGTTATTTTTCATAGCACATATATGGCATATTAAGAATATTTTCTAATAAACAGGATTTTACATTTGTTCCAGAGAGTTCGCTATAGTTTTTTATTTTGTTTTTTGGTACTAGGGGATTGAACTCAGGGACATTCGACCACTGAGCCACATCCCTAGCCCTATTTTGTATTTTATTTAGAGAAATAGCCTCACTAAGTTGTTTAGTGCCTCACTTTTGCTGAGGCTGGCTTTGAACTCGCAATCTCCTGTCTAAGCCTCACAAGCTGCTGGGATGGCAGTCATGTGCCACTATACCAGGCATTAGCTGTAGTTTTATAGCATTGTTCCAATTGGAAAATGCATTCCAAGTTCTAGATCACCTACTTTGGGGAAATTTTCATTTGTAAAATGTGGTCAGAGTGTATATTTGTATGTTGTAGGTAAGTGCATTTTTTTTTAGTGGTGCTGGGGGTCAGACTCAAGGTCTCACATATAGGCAAGCACCTACATACCCACCCCTAAAATAGTTTTTTTTTTTTAAGTTTTTCTCATATTGCAAAAGTTGTTATTGTATCTTATGTTTGTTTCAAAATCCCAATTGGTTAGGACACTTTGAGAATATTAGTGTTCTGCTTATTTGAATGCTAAAGGTTAATCTGAAAATTGAATCAATGTTTTCTCCTTAGCTTTAGTTAAGTTTATATGTTCTGTCCTTAAATAGATAAAAGAATGTGTATTTTTCCATGTCTTTCCTTAAAACAGTCAAGACTTGTGAATATATTAGTATTGTTATGGTTTTGGAACATGCACAAAATTTCACGCCTTCATTCAAACCAGGGATTCTGAGTGTAAATATAGAATGTATGGCAGACTGGCCAGAATGTGTAAGGATCCAAGGTATAGACAATATTTTTCCATTGTTATTTTTAATATCAAATGTTGTATTTGAGCATACTTGAAATTTCCTAATTTTGTTTACAAGAAAAAAATGCAAAGAAGAAAAAATGAGCCCATTCAGTTTATTCTGAAAAAATTCCCAATTTGTAAAGTCTAAGTTCAGAATTTATTTGTGAATTTCAATGACTCATACCTAAGTGTGGAATAAATATGTTGATATAAAAAGTAGTAATGTTATAATTTTCAGTGTAATAACATGTAATTCTAAGTAATATTAAAATTTCAAGAAGGGATGCTGGCATTTAAATAGGTTATGTTGAAAAAAAGAACTATGAAGTTCAGAAAAATACAAATAGCGAACTGCTGTAAAAACATGTTGGTTTCTCCATATATGAGAACATGAGAAGTAAAAAGAAGATTGGGCCTTCCTCAACACTGGCCAAGTTGTGCTGACCTTGGATTGGTATTGTGTCGTGTCTCCTTTTCCTTAAATATTTTTGCATTTGTGCATCCTTTGTGTCTGTATGGTACATGCAGTTCAGTAGCAATCCTGAATAAAAAGAGTTTACAAATCTAAAATTCACCTTTTGTTTATAGAGATAATTTTAACAGATTCATGTAATATTTGTTACAAAGCAGTAAAATGAGTTCATACTTGTAAATCAAACTCAGTTGAAAATGTCTGGACAACAGGGACTGTCACTGGTATCTTATATTCCCTCATATCTCCATTAATGACTAGAAAACCAAAGGTAATCAGTTATTACTTGATAAATGTTTCTGCCTCTGGAGACTAAAATTCAAGATTTTAATAAGTAGATATTTACTCTTGAATAATATAGGATTTGCTTGATCCCCTATTTTTCTTGAAATTTGCCCTAATTCATTTTTAGCTCAGGCCATGGTGGTTTATCCATTCATATACTTAACTCATATGTGAAACCTGAAGATGAAATAAAATACATAAAGTTTATATAGCTAGAAATTTTTTATACTATAAATCAGACTTTTAACCTGCAAATAGTTAGATTTGAAGATTTCCTTAAATTTTTTTTTCAGAAAATGATTTGAAAGACCTCATTTTGTAGTTGTAGATTATTTTTTAACCTAAATTATATATTGGCTAAAAATCTCAAGTTTTACCCAAGAACTAACCAAAGTACTTGTTGTCTTTTTCTATATGTAGTAGGGGATTTTTACAGTAATTTTGTAATTGTTGTGGGACACTGAGAGAAGGTTTTCAGAGGAAATAACACTTTCTATTTGGGGCGGGATTTTAAAGCAGATGTAGAAGTCAAATCTCTAGTCTTAGCTTGATACTGAATGAGCAGCATCACTGACTCACTATAAACATTCTTATTTCTGAGGGTATATCTTATATCTGGGGGTATATCACAGAATTTGGCTTTTTAATAACTAAATAGCCTAACTATGAGTATTTATATTTTTCAGTGTCTAGTTATTTTGAAATATTTTCCAGTCCTAGGACAAAGTACTCTATAAAAGTATACTGAATGGTGTAAACTGTGAGTGTGAAGTATATTTTTTAAATGCCATGCCAGCACTCCAGGAAGCCAATAAATTAAATTCACTTAAAATACAGAAGGGAATACAAATCTGTATGTACAATTTAGCTGACAGAGCTCCCTGAAACACCTAGTAACTTATAAACATTCATAAAATTGTTAATTGTTTGTGTCTACCTGTTCATATATTCTTTCCCCAGGCATACTTTTGACTCAAAAGTTTGTGTCCCCTCTACTCTTTGGAAGGACTTTATTTCTGGCTTTTAAAAAAAAAGTGGGGAGAAGAATTGCTAGCCAAAAATAACCACTGAAATAAATTTAGGAGACTCCTTTGGCAAAAATTCATCTGTTAAATATACTTTTGCATCAGTAATAAACATAACTGAATTATGCAGAGGTTGATTTTATCTGCCTGTATTCAGAGTTGAATAAGTTCTCAATTTTTTATTAATTGCTAATTTAGAGTTATTTTAGAAAGTAATTCGCAAAGTCCTTCTGAATGTTTTACTGGCAACTCCTTAATTTCGACAAATATGAGGTAACCCAGCTATGCTAATCGTGTTGTGTGAGCTGCTCAGGGATGCAGTTCAGTGAGAACAATGTAGACTAATATGAAACAGAGGCTGGCTATGCTACAGGTGTTTGCTTTTAAGGGGTGTGATTTTAAAATCTGTTGAAAATGACTGTCTAGAAGTATTTCCCTCCACTTACTGCTATAAATCCAGAGACATCTTCCACTGGTGTTGGTATCAGTGAAAGGGCAATGTGTTTGCAGGAGGTTGCTATGAAATAGTCTGATCCTTAGGAAGCAGGGTTCTTTAACTAATATGTTTAACTTTATACAGACATTGCTCCTTATTTAACATATCCTTTCTCTGTTTTTCTTCTATTAAATTATCTGTGTCTTCCCATTGAGAATGAAGTTCTCAACTTCTTCATGCATAGTGGATCTTCTGTTATTTTTATTATAGTTCCTATTAGATTCTAATGCAGTTAACTATATGGGTGTCTAACTCTCCTTTTCCATTTGAATGTGAGCTAAATTATTCTAACATCTACTACAGTAGTTGCCATATATGGTAGTGGGATAGCCAGAAAAATTACTAAAACATCAATTCCTTGGAAAAAATTATTTTATCAGATTTGTTGACCATAACATTAGATAATATAGGAGTAAGTTGAGAGATGAAGAAAATCCTTAAAAAAGGACCCATGCATGATAGTGATCATGGTAATTCACAGCATAGAATAATATGATAGCAGAAACTTAAAATTTTATTGGTACATAATAATGATATAGAATAGTGGATTTCATTGTAGCATATTTGTTCAGGTACATAGCATAATTTGATCAATTTCTTTTCTCAGGACCTTCCCTTACCACAGTTCCCTCTTCTTCAGTTTTCCTGCAATCAATTTCTCTATTTTTTTTTTCTCTCTAGCTTCTGCATATGATAGAAATCATGTAGCCCTTGACTTTCTGAGTCTGGCTTATTTCATTTAATATGACACTTTCTGGTTCCATGTATTTTTAAATATTTAATTGATTTTATAGTTTTAAATACATGACAGTGGGATGCATTACAATTCTTATTACACATATAGAGTACAATTTTTCATATCTCTGGTTCCATCTGTTTTCTTGCAAATGACACAATTTCATTTGTCCTTACGGGCCAATACAACTTCATTGTATGAACAGAAACATTTATTAATAAAATATTTTTCCCCAGGGAT